TGTTGCTGGGTATCAATTATTAACCTGCCACAACACGGCCAGCTGGGAGAGCTGTGGGGTTTCCTAGGTAATCCCTTCTTAGCACGGACGGAACTTCTAGCAGGGGGCGGAACTTCCTAGGTGCCCCTTAACACGCCCAGGTTCTGGACTCTCAAAGTATCAAGCAATATCTTCATATCTGTTACTGGGGATAAGAGAACGCATGTTTACGGTACAGTCTTGCTGGAATTTCGGTTTCCATTTTAGCACCATATTTGTGGCACAGTTTCTTTGGGCAAAGTTTCGTTTCTTGCGTCACCATGTCGGTCAAATTTGACTTACGACATAAATGTAATATCAACAGGAACCTTCCTCTGTCACCCTCTCTGTTGAAAAAAACAGTCTGTCAGTCAACCCATCAGTCAGTCAGAAAAGGTCATAGAGCTATATGACACACCTTTCAAAAAATATCAATACTGCTATAGGCTCAGAGACTCGTGGAGTTACGTTCACACTTTTGAAAAATTTTACTCCGCCAGTCAGTCAAAAAAGCCATTCATAGAGCTACCTGACTCACCTTAAAAAATAAACATAGTAGGTTTTGAGTCACTGGAGGAGGGGGGGGAGTCTTACCCCCCACATTGTTGACAAAATTTACTCCGACACTTGTGGAGTCAACTCATACATTATGACGTGTCCGACCCCGCCGCCGCGATCTCCTCCTCCCGGTAAACCTTGTATTCCCGGTAAAATGTAATGTTCCTTGTAAACTCCTCCCGATAAACCCCTTTGTAAGTCCCTTGCAAACTCCTCCCGGTAAACTGTAATGTTCCTTGTAAACTCCTCCCGGTAAACTGTAATGTTCCTTGTAAACTCATCCCCTTAAACTGTAATGTTCCTTGTAAACTCCTCCCGATAAACCCCTTGCAAACTCCTCCCGGTAAACTGTAATGTTCCTTGTAAACTCCTCCCGGTAAACTGTAATGTTCCTTGTAAACTCATCCCCTTAAACTGTAATGTTCCTTGCAAACTCCTCCCGGTAAACTGTAATGTTCCTTGCAAACTCCTCCCGGTAAACTGTAATGCTCCTTGTAAACTCCTCCCCTGTAATGTTCCTTGTAACTCATCTAAACTGTAATGTTCCCAAACTCCTCCCGGTAAACTGTAATGTTCCCTCCTCCCGATAAACCCTTGCAAACTCCTCCCGGTAAACTGTAATGTTCCTTGTAAACTCCTCCCGGTAAACTGTAATGTTCCTTGTAAACTCCTCCCGGTAAACTGTAATGTTCCTTGTAAACTCCTCCCGGTAAACTGTAATGTTCCTTGTAAACCCCTCCCGGTAAACTATATCCATTTCATTATGAATTCCCTGTAAACTGTATAAACCGGTTACCCATAAGTTCACCATTCCCTATTAAATCGTATATAAACGGTACAGCTTAAACTATTCGTTCAGAAAAAGTTTACACTCCCGGTAAAGTAATCACTACGACTAAAGCGCACGGTAAACCACACCTGTTTAATCACATTATCCCGGTAAACTCACCCGCTTCGTCTTAAATACCCGGTAAACTTAATCTATTTACCTTTAAAATCCCGGTAAATCTCACTCATCTTCTTTAGGTAAACTTAACGCTACCTATCTACTTTGCATCCCTCTACCAGTAAATCCCAAATCACCGGTTAACTGAAAATCCCGATAATTCTTGCCAGTTTAACCTTACGTTCCCGATAAAATCCACAACCCCAGTAAAATCCCACAATCCCGGTAAATACCTTACACCGAACAACTCCCATTCCCGATTTTAACCTTAACATTCCCAGTAAATCATCCCCTCCCTCCTTCATCTGATAAATATTCATCATCCTAGGTCGAGATTCTCAACAGATTCCCAAGTTAAAATGTCACAAACTTATCTGACTGACTCACTTATACAACAACAGCGCTAAAGTTAACAATAAAAATGGCGTCGAAATTGCACAGAGACTACAACAACACGTAGTATATAGATTGCATTACACTGAAGAACGTAACAGTGTCCCATTCTAAGTAGTCTATCCCCATTGTCTATTTGTCCAGTAAACAGCGTGGTACCTGGCACATGTTTATAAAGTACAAATATACGGATAATAAGCAAAAGTCAACGCTATAACCGCGTGTTAAGTGCTTATATTCTTACACAACCCGTACTGATGGTCGACTCACATACACGTAACTAATATGATAATTTACAGCGGCGCGCGTTGTTAGTTGATAGTACATGAGCGATGATGACAAGCGGCCCCATTAACACACTTGCGTTGCTAATTTACCCACTTAACAATTATGAAAATATGTATACTTAAGCTAGTAAAGTCCTGTATAATATAACCCCTCCCCCCCCCCCTCCCACCACCCCACCCTACGTATACGAGTGTATATTCTAACACCTGTTGTAGTATGATCATTAATAAACTTGTCGTACCAATACTTTATGAACCACAGTGAGGAGGACAAGTCACAACTCAACCAGGAACAGTTTATGAAGTGCATGCTCCTCCCCCTCCCCCAGGTTCTTGAGTTTTAAGACTGACCTATATTGACATGCTATATATATAATTCAACAACAAAACAGTACAGTTCAGAAAAATATATAGTGTTGTGTTGTCTGGGGAAAGTTTGCAAAGTTTACACCTGTAGTTTAATGTTAATGAGTATATGACACTGTTGATATGCCATAATATAGAATGCAATTACAGCAACACAAGGAAAACACTAGATATATTGGTTGTGTTGGGTCCAGGAGGTATACCGGCGGGCGGCAACACTCAACCCACACAGATCACGGGTGTTACTTCGACCAAAGACCAACTGGAACACCACAACTTTAGCGACACACACCCGTCAGGAAGCAACACAGGGGAAGTTATATGCGAGATGAACTGGCGGCGAGGATGATGACAAGGGTGTAGGGTCGGAGGTGCGCGCTAACAAGACTTCGACGGAGAAAATACCACAACTAAAATACGACTGTATAAAATTCCGCAACCAAAACATTAAGAGAAAATCCCACCACACCGTCTTTAGCTAAATAAAATTCCATTCAACTGTTCTCCGCTGAACAAGACCTCACCAACGAATTACAGTACTAGTGTAAATTAAATCCCTACAATTTCTCAAGGAACAAAAAAGCTTACCATCAAGATAATAGTGTAGTAAACCCCACCTGCTCAAGTCTCCTTATCATCATCATGTTAGGTTAGCTTAGGGTAGGTGGGATTTTGTCCAACAACCAGTTTTAGTTTAAGTATAGCATGTAATGTCACCCCCTCCCCCTCCACACATTACTTCATCAACCACCTTCACATTAACTGAAATAATATCCCATCTAGTTGTGTCCAAGAATAAATTTCCTCTCCTGTATAGCAGCAACGATTTCATTCACTCTCGTGTCCACCGCAGCTGTAAGGTTTCATTTAATGTGGTCCTGGAAAAATAACACTCTGTAGCCTCCATTGTTTACGTCTGAAATAACCATAGGAATTTTAATTCACTGGTACGAACGTAAAAAAAAATATGCGAAGCGTTTTGTTACACTAACAAGAGTTAGTTTTTTTCCTCGTGAGCAGGATAAATTTATTAAGTTGTAAACATGTCTGTGGAGCAAGAGTGAGCGGGTGTAGAGGGAGAAGTGGTGGCCATGTTTTGCGCCCACGTATCCGGTATCATGGAAACGACTAAAAAATGACGGCGATTTCCGTCCAAGTTTATCGGAGATGTAAACTTGGAAGTCCACATTACCTAGTCATGACGTCAGGCAACATTCCCAACCATTTTCCTGAGCTACACCAAAAATTTTGGGATGGTGCGAGGGGCGCCGCGCTCCCGCAGAGGTTCATTCCGCCTGCCGTGAGCTGCTGCTGGCCAAGATCGCTGCCGTGCTCCACCTACATAGCACAGCTCCTCCTCCAGTAGCCAGGACACAGCGTGCTGCCCACCCAGGCCAACCTCACTCACCAACACCCGCGTGCTGGCTGGCCTGTTTCCACTACACCATAACTCGCAACACCTTACGTAACACGTTGTTGTCGCTACACCCACAACAGTACAGCACGTGGCTCACTCACCGCTCCCGCCACACCTTCACCGTACCCACGAAGTTTTGATGTTATGGTTTGACCAGCGGTCAAAAGGCGATATGATTCAGGTCATTGATTTCCTGAAATCTGACACTGGTCCATAATCGACTGTGGTCATGGACTGGGGCACTAATGTTGCGGTCTCGCCTCTGAATTATAACGTCGTTGGACTACACACTTAACTACCTGTTTTCGTCAAGGTAAATTAACCATCTTAATAAATCACGGCCATAATTCACCCCCATACAAGGCTGGTGTAAAACACTCTGTGATGACACACACACTGGGATATTTTACCGTCAGAGGAGGCGACGACCACACAGTGCCTTGGGTGTTGAGCAGTACTGAGGAGAGTCACGCGAGGGCCCGGAGTCACTGTGGTTAAGACGGAGACTGTGGGGAGCGGCGACCATGCGTGGCGTGGGAGTGCTGGTCGAGGACAGCAGGCCAGCCAGCAGGGACAACAAGACCCGCTTGTCCAGACACCGTACGAGTGCAGGCCGGAAACGGTGCGGGGGTGGTAGGTGGGCGGGTGGGCTAGTAGGGGGGAGGTGGGGGTCAAGACGTGATCCCTCTAACCCCCCATTAGCCACCACCATCACCCTGCTGCTGCCTCCCTCTTCCCCCCTCTCCATCTGCCCCCTGAACACCCTCCTCTCCTCCTCCTCCTCCACCACCTACAGCCCTTTGTCCCTCGGCCTCCCCGGGTCCCTCCCTCCGTCCGTCCTTACCCACCCCCTCGCCTTACCGCATCCCCTTCCTCTAACCCCGATGGTCACTGTCACTGTCCAAGCGTAGCGCCGCTCAGCTCATCTCGTAAGTAATCAATACCAGGGGCAGTACACGCTACTATTACACACACTCACTAAACGCACACTGTATATATATAAATTCACACTTACAATGCAAGCGAGAGGGCACAACAACACAGCACCACCGCGACGCAACACGGCCACTCCAACTCTGTGTCCTGTGGGGCCTACGCGGTGTGCAACGGTGGCGACCAAGCCTGCGACTGCTGATGATGGTGGTAGTGGTGGTGGTGGTGAAGGCAGGCAGCCGGGCGGTCTAAGCCGGGGAGTAGGGCCGCTGCCGCCGCCTCTCTTGCCTGCCTGCCACCCGACCAGTATTATCCGCAATCGTGGAAATGTTTCCTCCATTGGTTTCGTGATTTGTACTTTCAAATTTTGTTTTTGTGCCCTGACTTACATATATCTAACTGATGAAATGAATTCCTATGCTAATTATCTAAATGACAACAATAATGACCACCTAGGTACCTCATAATCATAAAGCCCATCAATCATCACGCGACCATAAATCAATTACAATTCTAAACTCCAAACGAAAACGCGTAAAATTCTCGCGCGCGCGGCCCGGTCACATGGCGGGGAAGGGGGAGGGGAGAGGGGGAGGTGGAGGGGGGAGGACTCAAGCTTTGAAAAGAGTGAAGCTGGGGCTGGCTGGCTCGCTGGCTTGCGTCCCTCCCAACGTCCTACTTCAATCACACCAAACAAATACTGCTACAATCACCCAGCAAGGCGGACCGAGAGGCTGGGTCCGCGCGCGTCGCCTTCGTTTCTATTATTGATATTTTTATACTTGAGGCTAAAGAAACTTTAATACATTTTGTACTAAATTACAGGTAATACAATAAACTTTCACATACTCACAGTTAAAACAGACGTAATTGCACAAAGATCACTAAAATAGACCACTTTCCACGAGTGATAAAATCTGTGCGTCCCCTGTCAATTCACAAAGAGCAAGTTCGATCGTCAGTTATTTAGTGCGCGGGCGGGAGGGAGCTGGCTGCTGGTTGGTTCTCACGGGCCAAGCCACGCCCACGCATGGCCGCGCCAAATACGACTCGGGAAGGCCTCCACCAAGTTACTTACCCAACTACCCAAACATTTTTTTTACTTCCATTAATGGCGTTGATACGAAGCGCTAAGATGGTAGAAAGTAGTATGAAGTTCACCAAGACATCGAGAGACGCCACGTAAGCATGACAAAGAGGCGTTAGGGTAGTCGGGTAAATTAGTGTCACATGGGCCCCGCTATGCTATGGTACCCTTCTTAGAAGTGGCCTTTCCCCTGTAGCAACGGTCACAGGAGGAGGAGGAGGACAGGAGCCGCGGTTACTAAGACGGGCAAGCAATGAAACTCAAGGGAGCGTGGAAGGTACCGCGTGGTTACGGGGGCAGCAGGGGGAGGAAAGTAGCTTGGGTTTCATCAGCAGGCCATGTGTCCCAACCTCCCTCCTACGACACATGTGGGCGTCCCTCTTACCGCCGTCAATGGCAGCATACAGAGCCCTCACCCACCCGCCGACACCCTCACCACCCTCCCTCTCGGCCGCCTCCCTCACACCATACACCAGAAACACCCCCGAAAAAAAGTACCGTTACAGTCCTTCGATTAATTACTCTCCTCCGCTGTAACACATAATACAGTTTTCAGTTCAGTGTCTACTTGTTTTTTTAGTCCTTCGCCGATTCTATTAAAAATATACTTTAAGGTATTACAACTTGTAAATTAGAATTACACGTTTAAACTGGTGCACGTAATAGTGGAACAGTTATCCCGTGAAAATGATGACAGATGATGATGTGGGAGTAATATTGAGAGCGTGAGTGATAGACGTCGTCATATTGAATCACAAAAACATGCCATTCATTATCACTTATATCGTCTGATTAAACAATTATGTCCTCGTAATTTTTATTGAAAAGCTGATTAATATCACCTCAGATTTTGTTTATGTTTCGCGCGAGAGAAAAGAAAAATACATTAATGGCGGGGAAAAAATCCTCAGTTATCATTCTGGGTCACGATTCTCAAACTTTAGTAAGGCAAAATTTTCCCCTTAAATGCGTCGTGAGTAAACGTCGAACAGACTCACTTATTCTACGGCACCCGAGTTGTCGGTCATGTCGTCCAAATTAATGAGACTATACTGAAGACCTATAGAGAGATGTATTGTCTTATCCTTATTTAAGGGAACAAAAACTAACGTCAATCCTAGAAGAGAATTAACACCCAGGAAGATACTTAAGGAAGACGAAGACCACGAGAGGGAATCATTTTGTTTATGGACCGGGACAAGTAAATCATCTGTGTTCATTTCGCTGCTAAAAAAAATGGCGGTCCATGAGCCGGTCAATAAAACTTAGGAAAATAAATTTAAATATGCCATAAAAAGAGGCGGGCGAGATGGTGTGGCCTACATACTGATGACTCTCCGCTAGTCTTTGTGGCGTGAGAGCATCCCTGTCCTCCTGAGCGGTCAAGTCTTCCCTTCATGTTATTTCTCAGGTAAGTCGGCCTCCAGGTGCTAAACAAACCCTAATAATAACAAGTTAATTTTTATCATGTTTTAGCTGAGGCATCACCTTTATACAGTATAATACAGTACAATACATTCAAATACACTACAAGAGGCATCATCTTTAGGCAATATAATACAGTACAATTCGATTAATACAATATACATTAGGTTACGGACAACATTTAAGCCTCTTGTGGCCTATTTTTAGGTTTTTCCATTTATTTTTGTAGTACAGTAACCCATCCGCACGGTTTTCTTTCCACACATACGTTTATTCTGGACAAATCCTTTAGGTTAGGTTCGGTTCGGTTAAGTTAAGGTAGGTTCGGTTCAGTGAGGTTAGGTTCGGCTCTATTCAGTTAGGTTCGGTTCGTCTCGGTTCAGTTAGATTCGGTTAGATTAGGTTCGGCTCTGTTCCTTTAGGTTCAGTTCGGTTGGGTTAACTTAGATTCGGTTAGGTTTAGTTAGATTGAGTTAGGTTAGGTTCAGTTCCACTATTCAGTTAGTTTCGGTTCGGCTCTGTTCATTTAGGTTCGGTTAGGTTAGTTTCGGCTCTGTTCATTTAGACTCGGTTCAGTTAGGTTCGGTTGGGTTAACTTAGGTTCAGTTAGCTTGAGTTAGGTTAGGTTTGGTTAAATTGGCTTCAGTTAGATTAAGTTAGGTTAGGTTAGGGTAGATTATTGTACCTGTACTTTATACCTGTACCTGTATTTTATATTTGCTCCCATACCTTTATACCCGTATCTCTACTGTTTATGTTACCTGTACTTATACCTGTACCTGTACTTAATACCTGTACTTTATACTTGTACCTTTATACACGTAAATGTATTTTATACCTATACTTACTACCTGTACCTATATTTTATACCTTTACCTGTACGTAATACCTGTACCTATATTTTATACCTGTACCTGTACGTAATACCTGTACCTATATTTCATACCTGTACCTGTACGTAATACCTGTACCTATATTTTATACCTGTACCTGTACTTAATCCCTGTACCTTTATACCTGTTCCTGTTACCTGTATCTGTACTTGTGATAAGATCTTTACGAATATTACTTGGTAAAACTTATGTTGTTGATGCTTTTCGTTTTAATGTCACTAACAATGATCAGATCTTAGTTTTAGCTGCATCAGTTGCTCCCAGATTTAGGAGGCACCTTTCACAACGTCTTAGATTCTTACAATAGAAAACTTATGAAGAAAAAAAAATATTCCGAATAAGCTGATGACTTCGTTTTTAAAATCTAAATCTGAACTTAATGCTAAATGACCAAGAGTTTGAGGTAATGAGTTGGGTGTTGTGTAAAGCAGTGTGAGGGGTGGGGGGGGGAGTGAGCTGGGTCCTAATTCTAAAAGCTTCATATTTCGTTTTTGTTTTGTTTAAGGTGACATTTGTTTTTATGTCTTAACAGTTAGGTGAAAAGATGAGTTTATGAATGTTTAAGAATGTGGTGAGGGAGGAGGAATGTTTGATAATGTGGTGTGAAGACGTAGGAATGTTTAAGAATATGGTGTGAGAGAGAATGGAGTGTTTAATAATGTGGTATGAGGGAGGAGGAATATTTGATAATGTGAATTGCATTGAAACAGTTTATTTAGTCAGAAAAACACAGATACAGAGTGGATAATAATAACAATATTAACATGGCTGAGCCAGTTGAGAACCTGAGCTCTCTTTTAGGCACCTGATATATACTATACATTTATTTCAAGGAAGTATTATGTAACATTTAGTATCATCTGGAATAGTACAATAGCATGATGGTAATAAGAACATCTCATAATGTTACCACGGTTATCACTTCTATATATTTATTAATTTTATTTATTTATTTAGTTTTTTTAGTTTTTTTATACATAAATTACAATGGAATTGAAAAACATAAGTATAATGTGGGAACAGTACAACATGGGTTGTACAGTAATAAGGTTGAACAAGAGGACAGAGCTGTCAGGATTATGTCTAGTTGGCAAATATGTTTTTTGCAATGGTAATTTCTTATGTCAGATAAAACGGTTTTGATGGTACAATAAAAACAGGTACTGTAAATATACTGTAGTAGGTGTTACAAGAAATGTGGTAGGAAGGAGGAGGAATGTTTGATACTGTGGTGTGAGGGAAGAGGGGTGTTTTATGTTGTATGAGGGGGGAGGAATGTTTAAGAATGTGGTGTGAGAGAGAATGAGTGAGGCCAGCTGATGAGAGCTAGGGCAGGCTGCGGGGTCTCTGTGTCTTACTGATGAAGATTAATCAACGTGAATTTAGCATCTGCTCTCTAAAATTCCTCTGCGGTGTTTTGAATGTGTGTGGAGATACTGAAACCTTGGAGCTGTCTTCTGCACGACCCCAGATACTCAGGTTATTGATATGTGAACGTTGCCACTAATTCCAGGTGTGAGAACGTATACCTAATGACTGTAGCACTTAGTCCACAACACAAAAATGGCTGACAAATTCTGGGCGGGCGAGATTGTGTTTATCTATGTAGAGTAGTTGTATTTATAAAGCTGAGCGACGTAGTATTTTACACATTTTCGTGAGGCTGGACTGCTTCTATTCATTCCCTGTGTAGTCTAGGGACGCAACACGACTAATTTTGTACTTATCTTGGCTGAATAAGGTCGGGGCCGCCGCTCGCCGGTGCAGAAGGCTGTTAGTCACAATCGAATATTAGATATACTTCACACAAAATAAAAGTTACAATAAATGACAAATACAGTTGATTTTGTTCTTCATGTTGGTTTCTGGGACTCTCCGTCACCTGAAACCCCCCCGTACCTCTCTGTGTGGTCGCATGAACAAATAAATTTCCTCAGGTCTGTTTATCATGCCTACTGTATTACATTTCCATACGTATCTCATTAAGGACAAGTTACCCCTGTACTGTTGTATGCATAGTTTAACGGCGAACTTTGATGAATTAATTATATTGACTCTCGTACCTCACATTATGTCAAAGAGGACAGTCAGGTTCTCTATACTCTACAGTTGTACAGGGTGGTTCATAAGTCCCAGGTTTCTTACCGAGTTACTGATCGAGATAGTCGTT